TGGCTTCGGGTTTCCTGAATTCTTCTTTCCGCACGTCGGTTCCGATCATCTCGACGCCTCTGAGACTGCTGCGAAGCGGTTTCCTGTGCACGTCTGGTAGCTTTTCGTAACTTATCTTTTTTCTTCTTTGCGTCGGTATCTCCTCCTGCAGATCGTTGGCGATGACGTTGCATGCGAGTTCTGGGTGAATCCGAAGATGTGCCTGGTTGCAGAGTGTCGTCTGGGTTCCCTGAGCACGCGCGTACAAATTTATGCGTGAGAAAGATAACATAACGGGAATTATCGTTCCACTCAAATAGACTGTACCTGCGACTTGTTCATCGTTTTTCTTTCGTTTTTGATGCCGTTTGGAACGTGGAACTTTTCGTTTCATTTTACAGTGCGGTGGAAACCACTGCAGTCAACATTACTGACAAAACCACAACAATGAATGTATTACTTGTATTACTATTGTAATACTTAGTAACACATATAATTTACTTCATAGATGTTTTAATTTAAGTAAGAACTTCATATACAGCTGCGTACGCTTGTTAGTGTTGGCTCCTGTTGTATTGAAGGATTAGTGTTGGCTCCTGTTGTATTGAAGGATAATGTTTATAAGGATTAGTGGTATCCAAGGTAATATTACTGGGTCTCAATACTTCAAAGTATTGTTATCCAGTTAATGCTTAAGAGTAGTGTAATACTGGATTTTGGACTTCCTTGTACTGTCCCGTTACTTCCTTATTTGACCACATTTACTTCCTTGTATGACGTCATTTCCTGCTTCCGTAACGGACAGACAGACAGACACTTTGTTATTTTCTCTGTATTAGAGGACCTTCGCTGCGCTCCGGTCGATAATCAATAATTTTCTATGTAAACAGCAATTGAAACTTCATAAGAAGTACTTACAGTTACAGCGAATTTGAAAGTAACACCCAAACTTCATTATGCGAACGCAAACAACGCATTGATGAATATAAAGTTAGACAGGGTACAAAAGAAAATTTGGATTTACCGTTACCGCTAAAGTGTCGCTAGTTAATAAAAAACTTATACGCATAGGTTCGGGAGAAAGCATTTTTCTAATGCATGGCTGTGTAACGAAATAAAGCGTGGTAACGCAGCCAGCATTCTTAGAACAGTTTAGTGTAGCCACTCTTTTATTGAGATATTTCTGATGTCTTAGTTTAACATTGCATACGTGTTGATGCTATGCGGTTCGTGCATAACATGTAAGACTGATATTCGTACAGTTATTGCGCGCAGCAAATACAACTGTTTTCGTAAAAATTGTAATACTACGTACGTAAATACTTCTACTTAGTACAGAATATTGATAAGTAGATCTGCTATACTTGTATCATTTATAGAGACAACAGTAGTACATAGTTTTATTTACATATACATAACATAGTTTCATTTACATATACAAGGGCCTCTTACAGTGCTACAACGAATCGCAAGCCCTTCCACTCTTTTCCAGGATAGGCAACCGTATTCACCCAGTGCGCATGGACCTGTGCCAGCTGATCGACAACGCACTCGTCAAATGGAGGCCATGAAGGCGCCAATGCCGCTGTCAGGCGACGGTCAACGGTTTCCGATTTGACGTCAGCACACCCAGCATCCTCTGTGAATTCCAAACTAGAAACACGCACTACCAGCTGTGGACGTGGTTGGAAGTCCACATATCCCGGCATTTTAAACACCTCACCGCCCTGGCTAGTAGACAAATACTGGTCCCATTCGGTCAAATCCAGGAGCGAATCTCGAATTATCACCCGTCCGAAAGCACGCGCCGCAAAATTTCGGATACTGAAAAAAACTGATAACCAGCCCTTTCGATACCCTGAGCATCGCGATAATTCAAATGCGATGGCGTTAGAGTCGGGCAAATGGAAGAATTTTTCAGCACTGTGGCTAGCAAGTGAGTGCCGCGCAGCTGCAGAATCTGAGTAATAAACCCTTTCTGCGCTGAAGGTTTGTGGAACAAAACAGGGGAGAGGTTGATCAGAGTGAGGGTTTTGGTGTGTTGGCTGATGGTGCGATCCAGCAGGAGACCGACGGGGTACAGATCGATGAGCGCCGGTAGGTCCGATGGCGGACGGAAGTTGTTGAAGTCAATGGAGATTCCAGTCAACAGCGCAGGTCTATTAGACAGCTGTCGCCATGACGAGCACACTCTGCAGAAAAAACACTTGATTACATGATGCCGATTGTAATATGAATTTCTCATACAATCATGAATCCGTTATTTTTACCATAAACTACAATTACGCTTGAACTGGTCGCTGCCAAGTTAATCCAAAAGCAACCAGGTCTTCTACAGTTAACACGAAAGCATGCGATGGAACTGTTTTAGGCGAAACACTTAAAAGGTGTAAATTAAAAGGATGTGCAACACTAAACAATTACCGCTTGACAGCAACGTGAGAATGGACATCCAAGTGCATCAAAATTTCAGCTAAGGTTTCCAACGGCAGACATGCTAGCCGACGTTCGTCAGCTCCTGTTTCAGGAAAAATTATAATTATCCTAATTCAGGTTTATATAGCCACGAATGGGATACACCAGAGCCGGCAAACCAGAAAAGACTGACCCAAACCAATATTATATTCTGAAAGCCCGTAGTCGAAAACCCGGCCAGATAGTATTCATTTCTTTCAAAACCTCTCCCGCTTTAAACGCCAAAGCGGAGGAGTTTTGACTACCTTCACCAAATGCAACTAAATTATTATAGTAATAACTAATAAGTATTATCGAGGTATTTTTAAGCAGGCAATGTTGCCACGTAAACCAACTAAGATATAGCTGGATGTGCAATGCAGTTCGTGATTCTGTACATTTGCCGTGATCAGATGCATACTCCGCCATGCCAAACGAAGTGCTGGATGCGAAATACCACGGAAAGGTTGGAAGATGGAGTACGGAAGTGGATTTTTGGTTCAAGCAAACCGACCTCTGGTAACCACGGGTCGTCCTTGCCGGTTCATTTGGTTGGATCTGGTGCGTATGCTACCACTATCGTATGCGAGAATAATGGTGTACTACTGTTGTATATCAAAATGATTGTCATTACGTCGACGGCATTGTCAGGGTGCCTGTAGCTATTCAAGCCATAGTCGTAATACCACCCCCTACTAGTTATTATTATAGACTGCAATGGCCAGCACATTTTAGACAACAGATTTGAAATTCAGAGAAACATCACATGGACAGTAGTTGTGTAAAAGCATCGGCTGCTTTCTCTTATACACACTCTGTGGCCTAAGTTGGACAAGAGGCTGCTGTCCAACAAGAAACAGCCTCGGCTTCGCCTCCGGGTTTCTTCTGGTCAACGGCCACTTTATTTAGTTTTCAATGAATAATTATTAAAATAAAATATTTCACCGAAGCATAACCGGTACATCGTATTAGCGCAAAAAACGGATTTTATACCATAAATTCTCACAACTGAATTCACGATTCCGTGAACCTTAACCTAATCAATCTGGGTAGTGGAAGCTCGGTCACTGGTTCTGTATGTTACGAATCTGTGCAATGGACAGAACTGCCAGCTTGGTCACCCGCTTGCCTAACGGGTGCGGTACACTGGACAGTACCGGTAGCTCGGTCACCCGGTCACCTAACGAGTGCCGTACACTAGACAGTACCGGTAGCTCGGTCACCCGCTTACCTAACGGGTCCCGCACTCTGGACAGTACTGGTAGCTCGGTCACGCGCTACCTAACGGGTCGCGTACGCTGGGCTGTACCGGTATATTAGTCATTCGTTCGTCTAATGGGCTCTGTGCACTGGACAGTACCGACTGCTCGGTCATTCGTTCCCCTAACGGGCTCTATATCTGTGCACTAGTACCGGTAGCTCGGTCACCCGCTTACCTAACGGGTCCGGTACACTGGACATTACCGGTAGCTTGGTCACCCGCTCACCTAACGGGTCCAGTTAAAAAGTATCGGTTGCTTGGTCAATCGTTCGCCTAACGGGCTCCGCACATTGGACAGTACCGGTAGCTCGGTCAATCGTTCGCCTACCGGGCTCCGCACATTGGACAGTACCGGTTGCTCGGTCAATCGTTCGCCTTACGGGCCCCGCACACTGGACCCTGGCACCCTACCGGTAGTTTGGTCGGCCGGCACTCGTGTAGAAATTGTCCTCGATGACAACGTTGCATACATAGTCGTTCTTGTCGTAATAACGGTCTGCTAATAATTAAATTCATTCTGATAATTGCAATAGTAAAAATGACTTTCATTTTTGGTTGTAGTTGTCGCCACACTGTCACTGACTCACTGTGCCCGAATGTGCTCATTATCGGTGCCCACTGCCCACTTCAAGGCAATGCTGGTCCGCTGCGGTCCCTTCCTGACGAAGTCGAAAGTTTTTGCGTGGTGAGTAAGTGAGCTGCATGGCCGTGTCAAACAACCGGCAGTTTCAGAAGTCTATCAACTTACCGGTAAATACTGTAAATGATCGTGCGTGCATTTTCTGGCTTTGTGATTAAATCGTTCATTTAATCTTTAATGTAACACATTTTCATCTGCCTTGCCTATAAACAATTTTAAAAAATTTTGTTTTGTGGCGCATCGTATATGGTTTGTATCCTTAAGGAAGATTACGAAAATCGTTGCGAGAATACTACAGTGAGGGAGATGCACCGCTCGGAAAACCACTTCTCTGAAGTGCCGATGCGGAATGCTGAAGGCATCCGCCATAATCAGTCCAATTCTCAACCACTGCGCATCTCCCACTGCGGCATACACTCCGTTGCTTCAACGATCTCCTAGTAGTCTGCAAGGCTGAGTGCGGGCGTCTCCGAGAACTCCGCCACTGTTTCTAAACAGAACCTTTGTGGCTGAGATAAAGAGAAGCCGAACACTGATGCGTATCGTATTATTAAGAGCGATTCCGTTCCAAAGTGCAAAATAATCACGCACCATTCTACAAAACAGGTTCACTTTTCCCCGCGATGTAACGTGACAGTTTCACTTCTCAAGGCACTGATTTCCGAAGATAAACATCTTTAATAATAAACGATAGCATCTATAGAAACAAAACTCGAAAATATTCACACTTGCACTGCGCTGCAAGCCTGCATACTATCGTTTTCTTCTTGATCGCTGTCAATGCAGTGGAACAAAATGGCATTTATTGCGCATATTCTTCTCATGGTGGTACTGGCGCTGTGTACCGGGAAGATACGGAGCGAAGCATGCAGTCCTGACCAGATTTACAAATGCCAAAAACCATACTTTCGGCACCGCCATGTGCTGAAATTGTTGGAGTGGCCAATGACGGATGTGGTTGTCAATGCCACGCAGCAACAGGTTCTTAACTACTGCAGGTAATACCGTAACATACATAAGCTTACTTGTTAATAAATTACTTAACCTCTTAAATATCTCGATCCGGTAGTTGAGCGTCGTAATCATTGCTCATTTAAAACATCCTCTCGTATTCTAACGTAGCGTGCAGTTAGATAGCATTCCCTTTCCACAACCATGTGGTAATACCGTTTAAAGCGCAATCAAGGGAATGTGTAGAATACAGTATTTAAACACGTCATGGGCGTGCGAGCTGCATTATGGCACATTGAACCGGTTTCGTCCAGTTTTCAGAATTTTGCAAAAAGTATTTTCTTGTCTTTACTGAATTTAATTTATTATGTACATTCGTAAATGTAATAATCAAAACAAAATAATCAAATAAACTTTACATTTATTCACAATATTTACATCAGCGAGCACCACGCAGTAAACAAAATCAAATAAAGAATTTTTCCCAGTTAAGGTGATGAAATAACGGCTTATGGTCACTTTGCTACAAAAATTATTACCGACTGCAATAAGTATAAGCGTTTTGAAACATATTAAAGCCTTTCATATTTGAAAATAGCCGAAGTAACCGTTCACCGCAGTGACCACCGCGCACAATGACCCTGCAATGGTTGACAACATTAGCTGCCCAAAAGTACACAATACACCCATAGCATTACCACGCAAAATCAAATAATAAAATAAAAAATGATAATTTAGTTTAAGCCCATATTTTGTCTTTGTACTTAATTTATTTTAGTTGTAATCAGAGCAGGTAGCCGATTATCGGCTGGTTGACAATCGCGCATTGTTATTTAAACCTGATTTATCCTCTGCTACGGATCAGAGAAAGTTCCAGTCGGCATGGGATCGACCGTTGATTGACCAAGAGTGTTGTTAATGAAGCGGACGACCACCGACGAAGCGAACAGAGCCGCACTTTTAGCTGCACTACACCGTGATTCGGGCGCATGGCTAAATGCTTTGCCTGCACCTAATTTGCGCACGTTCTTACGGGATGAAGAAGTGCGTATTGGCATTGCACTTAGGTTTGGACTTCCAGTCGTAGAAGAGCACAACTGTGTGAACTGCGGAAGCCATGTGGAAACAAATGGTCACCACGGCTTATCCTGTTCCAGCAGCCGAGGAAGATGGCCTAGACATGTCGAACTCAGCGACGTAACAAAGCGGGCTCTGGAACATGCTGGGTATCCATGTCAAAGCGAGCCACTGGGACTGTCCGGTATAAACAATACGCGGCCAGACGACATGACTCTCGTCCCTGTACGTGATGGCAAAGCGCTCGTTTGGGACGCTACAGGTTGGGACATAGTAGCCTTATCGCACGTGCGGGCATGCGCGAGTGCATCCGGCAGTGTTGCGCTTTTAGCCGAAGACAGGAAACGTCATAAGTACGTGTTTGTGGAAGAAATGGGATATCTTCTTTATCCCCTGGCGGTCGAGACCTTTGGAACCTTTGGTCCGGCATTTGCGGAGCTTATTCGTTTCGTTAGCAGATATGCCGGGCAGGCGCGGATGCTGGACGAATCGTCGACGGAGTGTCATGTGGGCCGGATCCCGTCCAGCCTGTGGATTACGCGACAGAGCTTCCAGTATGCCCGTTATGCGGCACAGAAATTCTGGGAAATCCATCTGTCGTATCAGTCCAGCGGCCAGCAGAGACCGCAGCGGTTGACCAGCCCCAGTCTCTTTGTGGGCAGCTACAGGGATAACGCACAGCCATCTGGTGTCAATTTCAAGTTTGATACGGTGCTAACCGTGGATAATCATTTGGGTAAAACGATAAAAGTACCTTCTTGATCGATCTGTAAATAAATAGAATAGTAAGGAAGCCGATAGTCGTCACTAATGGAATAATTATGCCAAAAAATTCTAGATATACAAAGTTAATAGATGCTAAATAAATTAGCAATGGTCATTGTCTTTTAAACCCGAGCGCGCATATACAACATATCGGTTGATACTTGATGTTTGTAAACTGCCTTACAATCAGCCTCATAATTTTTCAGCCTCACAAGTTTTCTCGTATCAGTTAAATGACCTTTTATGCTGAAAATAAACGATTATATTAACAGAAAATAAAAGAATGGGATTTTAAATGTGTTCTGTACTTCGTTTAGGCTCGTATAAGGCGTATCTGGAAGATCCTATCGTCTGCAGTGCGTCCGAACGTGCCAAATTGTGTACTACTTCCGCTCTGGAGCTGGAGAGGTGCGGCCTAATGAAGCCAGCGTTCCAGGTAGACTTCATGATTTCTCGCATCTCGGACAGGCGGGTCTACAGATGTATTTATAGTTGGGTGATTTTTAAACCGTCTATTCAGGCACATCGCATCCGCCCTGAACTCGAATGTCAACCACCGGTGAAGAATCCATATATCTGTCTGACTAAAATCAACGCCAACCAAACTGATATTTGCGATGGTCGATGTTGGTGACCTTGCCGGAAGGTATGTAGTAATGGATAGCCACCTCTTTCTTGCTTTAGAAAGAAGTGTCGAGCAGATCAGTCTGCCATTTATTTTGTGAACAAATTACCGTCTTCAATCGTACTCCGTTTAATTAAGCATAAGCAAATCCCTTTTATCAATTTTAATTGGGCGTAATATTTTAATACCTAAATAATAATGATTTCTTTCTTATAGATAGCAAGTTATAATCTTATAATAATCTTTCTTATAGATAGCAAGTTATCCCGATATTAATAAACAATAACTAGTCTTGTTGTTCTTATTGATAATTTTCATTTTTATTTACTGAAGTACCCAATATTATATCGAATTTTACAGTCAGTTTTTCAAGCATCTCTCAAATGTACGAGTATAATTAATGTCTTGTGTCAACAGTCACTTCAACGCCATCCAGCTGGCTCAGGAGCGCTTCGTTAGCCGTGACCGCCTGGGCAGCAGCAGCTCCATCTTCGACGAGGCTTACTCCGTGGCTCTGGTTCGCGATCCCAACATCCGCAGCCTGAATGACCTCCGCGGAAAGCACGCCTGCTTTAGCGGTGTTTTCGAGGCTAACGGTTTCATGCTGCCCATTAACGCGCTACGCCGCAACGGCCTCCTAGGACACAGTGACTGCCAGAATATCCGAGCGGCGGCAGATTTCTTCGGGGACTCCTGTCTGCCATGTCTGTCGGATGCCGAGCTCAATACTAACGTGTGGACCGACGACAAGGCCAAGCTGTGCCGCCGGTGTCAGCGCGGTGAGCAGTCGTGTGCGCGGGGTGGGGACAATAAGTATGACGGGGAGATGGGCGCGTTGAACTGTCTGCGCGACGGAAAGGGGGATGTGGCGTTCGTGTCGCACACGGTGCTGAACGAGATCCCCGATGAGCAGCGGAGGATGTTCTGTTTGGTGTGCGGACAGGCGAATTCTGGAACGGCGCAGGGGATCGATTCGTATTCAACTTGCAGTCTGGCGAAGGCGCAAGGTGGCGTCTAGGGCTGGGAACAGGACGGCTATATTGCCCTGAACCCGTACTTTTTCAATTTTTCTCTTCCTGAACCTGTCCTGTCCCTGAAACTCACCGTGTCGATCAACCTGAACCTGTCCTGAACCTCATGCCCTTCACCCTGAGCCTGACCTGAAAACCTGAGCTTGTTGAAATTAAATTTTAGTTTTAAAATTTTTTGATTGGTGACGATGACGCCACTGGCGTCATCGTCACCAACCGGTAAACTAATGCATTGTTATCGCAGTAAAATTAAATTACAGAGTAGAGAGCTAAATTACAGTCACAGCTTATAAACAGTCTTCATCAATTATTACTTTTTAACTGTATTTGCAGTAAAGCAAGAAATTAGGCATTGGTTTTAAAGTGGAGTCATACTGGTACAACGAAAAATAATGTACATACGTAAAATGATTATACGTTGAAAATTCTGGATTAAGTCAAAATAATGCGGAAAATGCAAAACTGCAAATGATAAATCTTATTACGCTTCGTACATTCTCGAGCACTTGTAGGTACTATGTGAATTTGGCATGCCGGTATAGCAGTTAAATCGACAAAGCTTTATTAGTATTCCATTACTCTTTGCACTGCTTCAGATACAAACCGTTGGCGGAGAAGCGCCGCTTGACGGACATGCTGCTGACCGCTAGCAGCCTCTTCAGTGCCGACCTGACCATCAACAACTTCCAGAACGTCCGCATTGATCTGCCCTCAGGCGCCATGGACCGTGCCCGCAAGACCTACCACATGTTCGGCAAGCGCAACCGCAACGACTCTTACCTCACCTACTCGTCGTCCTCCAGCTTCTACGGCCAAACTGGTCGGACGGGCGGTAGCCAATACAACAGCGGCAACAACCAATACAACAACCAATATCAGAGCAACCAATACCAGCAAAGCACCTCATCGTACTACAACAGCAACAACAATTATCAACAGCAGCAGAATCAGCAACAGCAATCCCAGTACAGCAATCAGCCGCTGAGTACCCTCAACACCGCCGGGCACTACGCCATCTTCAGCCCGTCGGCGTACGATCTGCGCGGTTTCGGTGACGATAACACTACCCACGTGGGACTGGCGCTGGGTTCGTACCGGGAACTGGCCGAGCGGAGTAACTGGCGGGTGTGCATTGATACCGGTACGGCCGGCCGCCCAGCGGTGGCGGGGATGTTTAGTGTTCTTGTGATGGTGGTGCTAAGCAGGATCCTGTTGTTTGAATGGTCAACGGTGGGAGTTTAGTTTTGTATTAACGTTTTTGTCCAGGATTTTATTGGGAGAATATGTGCCACTGATACCAAAATGCGTAGCGCGTTGAGGGGTTCTTCGATTTCGTTTTTTTGTTGCAGGACTTTTTTGTGGAATACATTTATGTACCCAGTAAAAACTAATATTAATGCAATCGCCGGTTCATACGAGATACATATTTGTGCCGAATAGTCGTTGTAGATGTTGTTTCTTGTGTAATTAATAAAGATACTGTCACGACTTGAACGTGGCGGCATAATGTATTTATTATGAACCGCCACTGAGGGCGCAAACAACCAACTGATTGTTGTCATCAGGACAACAGTGGCACACTGCAACCGCAGTTGCCATGCTGGACAACACACCAGATAGAGGTCACAGAGGACACAACATTCTCGTGACGTCAGTGCCACTGCACTACGCCACAGATACCATAGATCGAACAGCCGTTCGGTGTATCGAAAAATCGGGAATGGGCCGGTCAATCTTCGGTCAAAAATTTAATTAAAAAATCGACGAACAATGTGCGAATATATCAGTCTCATAACGCATAAAGCGTTAGAACTGGTCGAACAGGGAAGCGGTTGTTTGCGCATTATGCGTTAAAATGTAATAAAAGTATCTACAGTTTACAGTTCTACGTTGTACCCACCTTTAACGTATGTACAGTACTTCCTGTGCATTAATAATTAAGTGAATGTATCGTACAAACATGTTCCGTGTTAAAACTACCGGAGGCGACAATGCAACGCGCGCGCGCATACATGCTTCGGTTTTTCCGGTTCCGCATAATCGTCGGCTTAAACGAGCGTTTCACACTTTCACTGACTTGGTGATTGTGATCGTTATTTAAGGTTGATTGCCGATTGTCAACAAACTGTATCTGTATTAGCCATCTTTCCGACGCATCGATTTAATTTTTTAATAAATCCACGAGGGAATTTTCCTGTAATTTACTACACAAGCTCTAAAATAATTTCTGTATTTACGTTACAGTTTTTATTTTAATTAAGTATTTATCCTGCATAATTCATATGGCGGAATAAAATTCTACGTGCATGTGAGTCACGCATAATTATGGAACATAAACAGTTGTCTGGGTGTTTTTGTAGTAATATTCATTAGCTATTCTGACATTCGGCGAAGACGTTTGCCAGCGGCGCGGAATCAAACACCAGTGAACGCAGGCCGAAAGAAAGTACCCTGCTGAACAGGATCTTAACGCGTCATGTTTCAGCACTTTTACTGCTAAGATACCGTCGCACTCATAACGCGTGGAAAATCAACCAACGATCCATGAAATTCTGCGCAAAATTCTCCTCTGTTATTATCATTTTTCCATCCGCATCATCCGCGTTTTTGGAACCGGATATCGCATGTTCATCTGCTAACGCCGGTCTCAGCCATTGGCTTATAATTTAATTAAAACAGAAACTCTAAAACGGCGCCTTAATATCCGATTAACTTGTTGTATTATTCAGAATGATTTGCCGATGGAATTATTACCAAGCTTATCTTTTTACATTATTTCTTCCCTTCCTGAAGTCCCATCCCACCGGAAATGTATATACACTTGAGAATTCTTTATCCGGTGAGAAAAACTTTGTGCATTTCGGCTAATATTTACGTAAATCTGAAAAAAATGGTTCAATAAATCTAATTAAGGAAAATCCAAAATATATTGGGAAATCGATGTTTCGATATTCTGCTAAAACAACAATTACGCCTAGAAATTTTCAGTGATTTTTTTTTTAATTTTCAAGCGGTGTTACTCGGAATGCTTGTAGTCAGCAGTACCGAGCGGTCGCCTACATAGCCGTAAATTGCCTAAAGGATTTGGCGGCTTAATACTGTATGTATTACAATTTGTCAGCTTCACTTTAATGACCGATACCATATTTCCGCGACCACCTTTTTTCTCACACTATATTACGTATGATGGCGTGAGATCTGTTGCCCGGTGCGTTGTGCACGGTTCGCCCGACATGCTTCCGCTCAAGCGCTTAAATAATATATAAATTATACAATTTTCGCTCATACTTTATCCTGATTTATTTTGTAACGAAAAATCGGAAACTGTCATTGGGTAAATTCAATAATTATATTTCGCAGGTTATTTAATACGGCATTCCCGCGATCTGACGTTTAAGCCCTTTAACATTATGACGCCGCTCAACTTCAGCGCCCCACACCAGATCTCCATCGAGGAGCTAAAGAAGATGAACCAGAATACCGGCTTCTCCTCGTCCACCTTTACTGCCCAGGCCCAGCGCATCGACACCAAGAATCCCAGACTGGATTTGGGGACATCGTTGTCCGTGGCCATTGATATCAATGGTCCGTTGGGGGAAGTAGGCAGCTCCTTCAAGGGATCACAGAACACCGGTGCGGCGACTTCCCAGGCGGGGGCGTTGACCGGGACCAAAAAGGGCAGCAAGGGACCGGCCAACGCACAGACGGCCGCCCAGGCCAACATCCTGGTGGATGATCCCAACGCGGAGGCCTCGGCATCCGTGCTCAACACAGCCAATGTGATCATGTCGGGGAATGCGAAGGGCAACGCGCAGTCAGCGGGTTCGGTGAACACCAAGTCGCCGGATGAGACAATAACGACGGCAGCGCCACCAGCAGGTAACTGACTTCAGCAGTATGTATGGTCCGAACACCGCGTTCATAAATTTTGATAAGTTTATATAGGTCTACCGTAATTAATTTAACTCTACGAAAAGTAGTTATTAGCTTTGCAAACTGCTGGCCCCTCCACGATACCAAAGGTGCGCCGTCACTCGTTCAAAAACACAAGCGTGATACGAGGTTCTGCCGTTTCGGCACGATCGATCGTGCAAACTGCTGCGCTTAAGCGTAGGCATAGCGCGAAGCGTCGGGTAAATAATCAGGAAGTTTCACTTATCGAAATGTACCCAAAACCCTACCGCGCACAGCAAATTCAGTTTGCGAATGCCAATACGGTTTTCATTTGCCCTACCAACCGCATCGCCGTATTTTCGGCTTTATAAAACCTTTTTGAGGCGTAGAGAAATTGCAGCGCTTCGTTGTTTGGCTTGCTGGAATCTTCTTTTCTATCGCCGGGCAGGCGTTAGCTCTATGCCGTTTTGCGAATTTTACGTTGGCTTGGGGAAACTTTCCTCGTTGTTCATTTTACGGCGTATCGGACAGAAAGAAAGCACGATACCCTTTGTTCCATTTGAAAGCAACCACATGGGAAACGGGGATGGAGGGGCCGGCATAACATCCATATATCCTCTATATGATCCTGAGCTGTCATTTTGCTTTAGCGGCGCCTACAAAATTAGCTGCATTGGAAAGCCCGAAGAAGTTGGCCACGGTGGAGACCACGCAGAAACCGATTACCGTCGCGCGCACTACTAGCACAACAACGACGACGACCAGCACCACCACAACGACAACAAGTACGACGACGACGCCTCTACCAGCTCTGCCTTTAATGAATACCGAAACACAAGGCACGGATGCACCAGCGGAAGGAGGAACCGACGCTGATACCACCACTTTGGCCAACTCAGATCAAACCACCGAAATCGGCGGTGGCGGGTCCGTTGACTCTGAAGACCAGGACGAGCGGCCGCACCGGGGTCGCCACCGTCGTCCCCCACCTCCACCGCGACGACCCATGCACGGGGGCTTTAGTCGTGGAGAGCAATTCGGCATTAATCGCTTCGTGGGACAGCAGCTCAACCGGGGCTATCTCCAAACCGGACCCAACTTTCCCACCAACAGAAATGGTAACATGGTGTTCGTATTGCAACTTCCTTCTGGCGATCACCTGGCATCTCTTTTACTCAGCGCAAATTCAGCCACATTTTTTAAAGTAGACTCCGTTAACAAATCAGCGCCGCTGATGTACCACTCACGAATTACAATTGTCAGAAACTTATCGACGAATATGCTGACCCAAGGTTGTGGAGGATTAGCTTGATATGTGGTTCCTGAAGATACCACATTTCATAAAACGGCTTAGCCATTCCTAAAAACGGTTTAGCTATTCATAAAACGGTTCAACCATTCCAAAACGCTTTGTGCAACACTGAAGCACACTTCGCGCTGTACATTTAGCAGTGCTATAGTAGTATTAGTGTGTAGTTCTAACTGTGTCATTCGGTATTCTTATCGGCTAATCCAGTTGCTTGTATCTGTACAGCAGTAATTTAAGTAATCCTTCTCATACTACTCATAAAACTGCTGTATATGTACTCGTAGCACTTGCAATGAAACAGTTCTATGGTGTTTATTTTTGCAGGTAACACGCCGGTTATGAAAACCTTCCAGCTTCAATTCTCCCTAGACAGCCCGAGCGGTGGCCAGTTTCAAAAGCAAGAAATGCGCTTTGCGCCAGCACCACTACAATTCGGCGCAGCGCGACCTCTTCAGTTCGCTCCGTTTCTATCCAGTTTTGCGCCTCTACCCAGCATTTCGCGTTCCGCCGATAGCGTACCACGTTCATAGAACGTTCCACGCGGACTGTGTAACTCCGAAAGCAGATGTTCATTGCTATCTAACATTTTTCCCGTTTTTCTGGTTGACGCACTACTACACATACTGAATTACGATTGGTTTATACTGCATATTGTATTTACATTCTATATAAGCTATGGAATCACAATCAATCAGTCAAAGAAAACCCGCTGAACCTTACGTAATCCACGGAGAAGATCGGACTATTAGGGATCAATAACGCGCGTTAAAATGAACAACATTGTGCTTATCTTCCGTCGCAATCAGACAACGTGACAGAAACATACACTACTGAAAACCTTCCAGATAAAATTAAAACATTCTACGCACGGCTTCGCGGCCTTGACATTCCCAACATGTACACATAATATTTATAATATTTACCGCACATGTACTGCGCTAAATTGTTTTACGAACCAAATCAGTTCATTCGCGCTGTGCATTACCCAGTATTGGCATTGCATAAAGCACATAACAAATTTAACATAATGCCGGCATCACCTTTTCCTGGATTTCATCTGGTTGTTCTACTTTGTTGTCTGACTATCAGCACGGTGCTAACGAAACCGACGGAACACGATGAACGCGGCGGATATTTCCCTCTAACGGAATTCATCCGCAGCGCGCTGGAGCAGCCAACCTGTGCGCAAGGGTATCGTGTCTGTGACGCAACATGTGTTTCTACACGGATGCGCCGTGTCTATATAAGTCCGTAAGTGGCAGTACTTTCATAATCAGTTCTGGCATTCTGAGTTTGGCAGTGATCGGAGTTTAGAATTAAATAATTATGGGACACAAATATAAATATGCAAAACCAGATAAGCACTTTTGTTTACGTCACAGCGACCTCCCCTTTACGGCAGTTGGTCCATATTGCGTGACGCAGATATGCAGAACTTGCATATCCCGCCCAGGATAAGCAAAATAAAGAAACTACTCCGGAGTAGTTTTTCTGAAATGGCAGATCTAAATAAGTTGCTTATTACTCGTACAACAGCGTAAGCGCGTCGCGTGCTCTTCCATAATTTATCTAACTTACTTTTGTTTTGAAGTTCTCCTAATATTTCTATATGCCATAATAATTTCCTCATAATAAGAGTACTGATTGACTGATTTGATTAATTTGTTGTTGTTTAATAACTTCAATGCTGGCCGTACGCACAGGTGCTCCCAAAGTTAAAAATTAGCCTTGGAAGATAGGCTGCTGATTATTGGATGCCTGAACTTAGGCTGTGACGTGACGAAAAGTACTTATCTTGGTTTGCATATTTATATTTGTGTCCCATATTATCGTCCGAGATGCACTTCTCGCTTCGCGTAGATTGTTAGGCTTAGCTATGCCACATTGATATATTAGCTCATTCTCTGTCGTTGAGTAAGGTCGGTAGGATAGATTATTACGGTAATTATTCCTTTCGTACTGATCTCTCCGTCACTACATAATATAGACATATACGAGTAAAACCACACTATTTGTAGGTAGTAGGTGTGCGAAAGTCATATGCGACGAAGTAGCCGCACCCGCGACAACGTACTCGGTGACCAATCACACGCACAGTAGAATGGGAATACGCTCTGGACTCCGGTGAAGTCCGGAGTCAAACTTCGGTTCCGCTAGTTGCAAGCGGATATCGTGCCTCACGGAAGTTACCGTAACTAACGATATGATATGAAGTTACCGTAACTAACGTTTTATTAAAATTAAACTAACGATATGATTCGAAAAAGCACACAACAAATTTCGACTTTTTTTTAATAAACTGTAATGTTTCTCCACCTTATAAAAAATCTGTTTATCATATTTCTAATTTTTGTTATCATCACAACTCACAAGTCTGGCAGAACCGCTATTACGCCACATAACTTTCTTTTGATTGGTTGTCACTTTCGCCAGTTATCGGGCGTGTTGCTTTGCGAGTTTTTACCATTAGTCGCAGTACAACGAGTTAGATACACTTCGTAGGCGTCAAACGTCTACATTACACCTGTTTCGTCGATTCACTTATAAAGTTATAATAACATTGTCATCTCTCTCACTTATAATTTTATTCGTTATTATGATATTATTTGTGAAAAGGACCAATTATTATTTTCTTAACTACTACTCAGTCGGTTAACTGACAATCTTTACGTAAAAAGACAAGTTCTATTTTCTATAACGGCTACACTTAACTGTTAAACAGTCTAAACTGTACATACTAACAAACTCGCAGCATTACCAAGCTGTCGTTCCACAGCATGACAGCACTACATTAGAAAAATGCTTCAACCGAATTTCCATTTCAACCGAATTTCTTGCTTCCGAATACTTTTTTTCAGATCGAGTACAACCTTTTGCTGCACTCTAATGAATCTTCCATTTTGCGCTTATCAATAATGTTATAAGTAAAATATTGCTGCATAATTATAGGACCATCGAAGCGTTTAAAATAGAGCATACTCTCACATTTTTTACACATTCTATTTTATAGGCATATAAAATTTCTACGTGTTTTTCGAATTCAGTTCTTCATTGTTTTTTTTCGCTTGCAGTTTCGGGAAATTCGAACTTGCGTCTCTACCGGCTATTGGCGCGATCTGGACGTTCGCAATTTCAACCAGTTGCCCTTGACAAATTTGCTCCTCACCGTGCTGGCCAGAGACTACCTGCCCAATTTCTGAAAGATTTGCTTAAATTTTTAAGTTGAATGTTGCATAACTTGTATGTTTTAATTTTTTTCGGCTAGCGGCCCTGCAGCGTTTACAGTAAATTCGAATTCCGTTTTTGGTAGCGTGGGACCCATAACTAACTCTTGGTTCATGAATTCACTGTCTGTCTTTGCATAAAGTTTGGAAGATGCCTTGCTGAAAGTGCTGAAGCTTCGATTAAGTCAATTGCTTTTCTTCGTGTTCACCTGACTTTTTCACATGAGTGTACTTGTACTGATCTCAACTGCTAATCTCGTTCTGAAACGAAAATATCGACTAAAACTTCCGAGCCAGTTGCAAAACCGTGCTAAAGGTGTTACGACCAACTTTTCATCGAATAACAAATAAAAATGCGGTGCGCCGTACTTCTGATTACATAATAATTATTATAATTATACGAAAGTCGGATGAAATTAATTTTCGTATGAGAAGTTGTGATTATGTACTGTATTTACATCGCGATATTAAGGGTCAGAGGAGTCCCCGTTTTTATACCATATTAAGGGTCACAGCAATTCCCTGGACCCAGCGCACTAGCTATAGGTTCCTTTGACGTCAATGGAGCCGACAAATAATGCGGACACTCCAGGTGATTCCCCTGAACCTTTAAATCTGATAAACTCGGGGAGCCCTCTGACCCTTAATATCGTGTAACTACAAGAGTTGCACGCCACATTTCGTTACACAGCATGACAAATAACGCCAACGACGGTACCATTAATTTTTGATGCCATGCACAGAGCTCGGGGTTCGTTGAATATAGAAACTACTTGGGCTACTCGGTCTTGTCAAGGGACCATTGGCAGGGAGAAAGGTTGACTCCCCGTATTAACACGCCATAAAATGTAGACCAAAATTAAAATGTGCCCTTTGCGCAAGTACTCTTCAGCTCGGACATCGGCGGTTCGTCGACGTTGTATCCCGCCAGAATCCTAGATTTCCGCTTGGAATGACTCCGACCGTACGTTATGGGGAAGTAACATGGGCGGGGCAGTTGTTTCACGAAGCCCTGCCAAACATCCAGATTCGGCTGCCGGCAACTTTGGGAGATCTCCGCAGCAGACAACTCCAGCCGGGTAATTTTTTCATCAAGATAAACAGCAGCTTAGGGGGCAAATTGCTGACGACATTGTTCGCCAGGCAGGAAAGTAGTATCCTCGCTATAATTGACCAGTTTTTTTTATCCGGGGGGTCTAAATTGTTTGCCCTAGGGGATAATTAACGGTTTGTGTGTTTCGACCCTAGGGGATAATTAACGACGTATTTTTTGACCGGGGTAGATTTTAACGAGTGGAATGTTTTTTAATATGTGATTTTGTTAAAATACGTCATGAAATTGCAGACTAACTATCGTCTCGTTAGATGGTATTGTGAAAATGGCACACTGATTAGTACATTACCGCTTATTTTTGAGTGAGAGAAACAAAAAAGGAAAAAAGGAAGCTTGTATCTGTGGTCGGGTAAGTATGCTATTGCGGTAACACACGTTCCGAACGACCACGACCCCTGTTCGACCTTGGCTTCCCTATTTTTTTTTTGTTTTACGCGTCAATAAGTTGTACTTAATGGTAAAGCATGGTGACTATTTATAACACGTTGACAACGGGATATTGTAATAAGGAATGACCATGGCTTTCAAGGATCATCGGAATCGGTAATCCCTGCGGGATCAGCGAAATATGGATGGATTATCGTTTTCGGTGACCCATACGAGTGCAGCGGTTAATCACGTACGGACAACACCGTAGCAACAGTATGAGGGATCACCAGAATCGGTGATCCCTGCGGGATCAGTGGACTTTGGATGGATCATCGAGTTCGGTGATCCATACGAGGGCAGCGATTAATCACGTACGTACAAAACCGTAGCAACAGTGTACTTTCAGGTAATCTCTTGATAAATAAATGTAGATATTTTTGCTAGGGAACTGATCTGAACAGCCAAGGCCCATAATGGATTTTTTATTTTTTTACTGAAAGTGCTATAAATCAACAGAAAGATGCATTATTGTATGTGGCGCCACCGTCAGGAAAGAACAGTTTCGTTCCGGAAAGTTGTTGCAGCTTGTTATGTTTTCGCATATGGGTCGATTCAAAAGGTATGACCGGCGTTGATGGTTTAAAGGCACGCCCAATCTTACACTGCTCCATGAAATCCGACCGTTGTATTTTTGCTGTAATATGAATGATGATATAAGTTTCCGGTAAAATTTTCAATCAGACAGAACCACGTATGCATCACTATCGTTGAACGAAATGCTGTAAAGTTCTTACCTAACATTGTCATATTGTTGGATTGTTCGGTTTCGTAGGGTGCTGTTCCAGTAGTCAGTTTGCATAATTTTTCCAACGCTTTCGGTGACAACAAACGCAGCAAAAACTACGAAAACACAACGTACAGATTAATTAACAACACCTTCTCGCATTTTTGTTCTATGTTTCGTGCATAGCACAACATGTGCTGGAGGTTCGCCATTGTAAATTGTGAGTTATTATTGAAACACATTAACATCACTTAAATAGACTAGCGTTGTTTATTTTCCACG